TATTAATTTTAAATTTTGCAATTTTAGTTTGACCAAAGTCAAGGTGGACCAATAATAAAATATTGAAAAGTAATTAAGAAAAAGACAAAAATAATAAAAGCCAAAAATGTCAAAAAAAAAAAAAAAAAAAAAAAAAAAAAAAAAAAAAAACCCCTCAACTATCAAAAATCAGCATTTTACCCTCCTCAATTACAAAAGTGAGCAAGTCAGTACCACAACTATAAAAAAAAAAGCGCAAATTGTCTCCTTGCCAGTCACTCAGAGAAGGAAAGTGACAGAGAGAGATAACATAAAAATATGAAACTGAAGAACAAATAAAATATAATAAACAAATAAAGAGAGAGAGAATACCTGGTTTGTAACTAAGATGAAACGATATGAACAATAGAGTCTCTAAATTTGCAGTGCGGCCCCTAAGAATTGTGATCTCAAAGCAAGAGCATCAACAAGTTACTGTTATATAGAGATTGAGAGAGAGTGAGAACCAGTACTGGTCTCAATCTGAGCCGTTAGAGTAGGGACATATGATCTCAGCCATTGAATTTTTTCCAACCTCAAAACACCCGACACATTTGATCTCAATCCAAGTCCTAACCAATGGTGGGAGATCTAATTATATTTATAATTCAATATCAATTTTAAAATTTGCAATTTTAGTTTGACCAAAGTTAAACTAGAAGTTAAGGTGGACCAATAATAAAATACTGAAAAGTAATTAAAAAAAAAAAAGACAAAAATAATAAAAAGGCAAAAAAGCAAAAAAAACCCTTCAACCATCAAAAATCAATATTTTACTCCCCTCAATTACAAAATTGAGCAAGTCAGTACCACAACTATAAAAAACGTGCAAATTGTCCCCTTACATACTCGACTATTGAGGTTTAATTTAATGGTACTAATATCCTAGATGATAATGGATAATTGCTGTGATCAATTTTTATTTTTTATATAAGGGTTTATGTTGTATATCAATTCTTGGCTCTTTTTCTGCATGTTTCTTTATAATTAGTGACCCCAAATACATTCTAACTTTGCCTATTAATTGAAACTGTTTGACAAGTTCATGCACAATTACAATTAACTGATGCTATGTTTGGAAGAGCACTGAATCTCCAGCTTGAATTTGAAATTGAACGAAATTTAATTTCAAGACACTAATTCGGTACTCTCAAATACAACATAAAGCAAATTCCAACACTGTAGTTAATAGTGCTACAAGTTTTAAGTCATTTTTTTTCTTCAAATTCCACCCTTTAGGCTGCCATTTGCATTTTTCAGTGATATAAAAAGATTGTTGTAATTTATGAAATTTCTGTTTCAGATCCAAATTAATTTGGATTATTTATGAGTCCGACATCCTCTAGGAATTTGAGACATAAACCTAAAATCTTTGTCACATAAGACCAAATAGACAGCATTCAAAAACAACTTCAACAAAAGGTAAAAAATAAGACTTTTTTTACATTTCAAAATTAGAATTCATAAAGATGGAGGCCAAAAACATCATGAAAACAATTTGATTTTTCAAATTTGTTTTCTAACAAAGCTAGCAAAGGTTATTGAAAACTCCATTGTGATCACATTGGAAAGAAATATTAATTGGAGGACTGAGAATCACATGTCATGGATATGAAGAAAAAAAATAGAAGCTTCATATAATAGATTCGAAGCAATATTTATGGTTTGTCAAAGAAGACAGATTATCAAATCATTTTAAACAATGCTCAAGAAAAGTGATGTATTTTCAATTTTCTTGGCATACACAACTTCAACCAAATTAAACTCTATACATAACATGTGTCTAACTTGACCACATAAGAAATATATTTTTCACTCTGTTCAAGAAAATATATGTGTATATATATATATATATATCTTTTGACTTTACAATGAATCAAACACATACAGATATATATATATATCTTTTGACTTTACAATGAATCAAACACATACAGATATATATATATATATATATATATATATTTGCATGCTTTTGGAAACAAATTTTTAGAATTTTTTTATATCTTATATTTTTAGTTCATCAATTCATTTTATGTTTCTCTCAGAGTCAATACAAGTTAACAAGATCGATCATTTTATATAAACAAATGAATACAAACATGTATAATGATCGATCTTGTTAACTTGTATCGACTCTGAGAGAAACATAAAATGAATAGGTGAACTAAAATCTTCACTTTCATGCGCTGATATGAAATATGGACCGAAAAAAGTTAATTAAAAAATGAAGAGGGACTAGTATTGATAGTCATCAAAATAAAATATAAAAAAATTCTAAAAATTTGTTTCCAAAAGCATGCAAAAAAAGACTTTTTTTTCTTCCCAAATACACATATTTATAATATTCCCTTCTTTTAAAACCAATACAATATTCAAGAAAAGTTATGTGTTTCCAAGTGTCTAGTGCACAACTTCAATAAAATTAAACTATGCACATGACGTTCTACATGTCCAAATAAGATATATATATATATATATATATATATATATATATACACACACATATACATATACATATATATATTTATATTTATATTTATTGGCAATAAATTCACACACCCATTTGTCTTTACTGAAACTAGAATCGTGACCATTTCATTTGATAAGTAAATGAGTTATCACTGGCCTACAATATTTGGTAATTAAGATAGACGTTTTACTTTTACAACAAATCATACTTTACAACAAATCATATATAAACAAAGTAATGCAAACAAATATGATGGTTGTTAAGTTCTATGCACGAATAAATAGAGAAACATGAATATATGGAATTAAATCCTTCCTTGAATATAATGATACCGAATGTCAACTTGAAAAAATCTAAATAAGAAATGAAGAAGATGTGTTACATGTCAGCCGAAATTTTGGGATGTGATAAAAGAAAATAAAACAAAAAACATAAAACTTACAAAAATGGAATACCCAAAATCTTATAATATTAAAGGTAACCCATCTTCTACAATGTTTCAACACTTCAAAATTAAGCATACAAACATCTGACAATAAACTATCATATAACAGTAAACTTTCTCTTAGATCACTACTTTAAAATTAAAGACCCATCTTCTACGACTTCTTCAGTTGCGACCAGATCTATTCATTAAAAAGGGTTCATCAAGCAAAACACTGTCAAGTAAGTCCCGATTCATTACTTTTGCCTTTGGCCAAACCTAGAAAATACAGGGGTGAACACGATCGCCTAGTTGTAGGAAAAATCATCTAAATCCATATATATCATAAGATAGAATATTAAGTACATTATTATAAATTTTCAGGCATACTTATTATATCCATTGATAGGGAACTAAAAATAAATAAAATTGTGCAACAACTTTGTTCTACCAAAAAAATTCTAAAATAATATTTTTAATTAGCCATTTCATTCTTCAAACTTGCAATACATTTTTACCAAACATATTTTTGATTTTAAAAAAGGGTAAAGTATAGTCACATCCCCTGAAGTTTGGCAAAAAGACACTAAGAAAGAAACATATCTATTTTTTTAACAAAAACATCTCTTGAAGGTTCAAAAATGGACAAAGATACCCCCTTTACATGAAAAATTGACCAAATTACCCTTTGACAATTTAGGAGACTTTTTTAACTTTACAACTTAATGAATTGGACTAATCTACCCTCATGAATAATTTATGCATAAAAAAAAAGTAAAAAAAAAAAATTCATATTGTTCACTTTTTTATTTTATTTTATTATAAATGTCCTAACTTCTTAAAAATGTAGAAGTCTAAAATGATTTTTTGATTCAATACATATATTTTAAATAAATTATATTTTGTTATTACTTCTTTTCTTTATCTTTTTATCTTTCATCTAAAAAATATTAAACCAATCTCTTTTCCTTAAAAATAAAAAATATGGTACCAGTATAACTTTATGCATCTTAAATTATATATCAAATATTATACATTTCCTAACATAAAATAAAATAGGTACCAGTATAATTTTATGCATGCCTTTGTTTGTTTGTTTTTTTTTTTTTTTTTTTTTTCCCCTTTGTTTTATTATTATTTTTTTCCCTTTTATGTGGGGAAATGCATAATATTAATTTAAGATGCATAAAGTTATACTGGTACCATATTTTTATTTTTATGAAAAAAAGATTGGTTTAATTTTGTTAGATGAAAGAATTAAGTATCTTAATTTAAAGATAAAAAAGAAAAAGAAAAGAAGTAATAACAAAATATAATTTAATTGAAATATATGTATTGGATCAAAATATAATTTTAGACGTTTACATTTTTAAGAAGTTGGGACATTTATAAAGTAAATAACCAAAAAAAAAAGGTGAACAAATATAAGGGTTTTTTTTTTTTTTTTGTTACTTTTTTTTTAATACATAAATTGTTCATGAGAGTAGATTGATCCAATTTATTAAATTGTAAAGTTAAAAAAGTCTCCTAAACAGTCAAAGGGTAATTTGGTCAATTTCTCATGTAAAGGGGTGTATTTGTCCATTTTTTAATCTTCAGGGGTATCTTTGTCTAAAAAATAAATAAGTTTCATCTAAGTATCCTTTTGTCAAATCTCAGAGAGTGTGACTGTACTTACCCTTTAAAAAATTTAAAAGAAATATATAAGTAATAATATTTGTACCGATTTATTGAGGTGAATTAACTAGAATGTTTTTCATTACTTATTTATCCACTATACATGTAAGTAGGGCCCACTTCTTTATTTGCATAAATAACGGATTAGCAACATTCCAATTCACTATAATAAATGGTTGCAAGTATCATTTACTTATCAAACAGATTACCAAATACCATTGAAGATGTGAAACAGAAACATTGCTTCTTCGAGTGAAGGTAAAAGGACAAAACAGAAGTTGTTGCCGAAAATATTGGTCCTTGCCATTGAAAATCCGGAATAATAGGTATTTTTCCTAAATGAATTGCTTGGAAAGAAAAAGTTGAATAACCCATCACTCCTTTGTCTCACAAGCTTATCCGATTATTAGCATTTGTGGAAGAAATTGGTGGGACCTTTTTCTTCGAAGGGAATGAATACTGGCGCGATTTCATCTCCCACAAGCTGTAGATATAGAGAGCGAGAGTTACATAGAGAGATAAACAGATAATGGCGGTCTCTACACCATCCATTGTGACACCAAAGCTCCACACACTTCAAACCTTCAATCCCAAACCCCAAATCACCTTCAAAGCTAACTCTAACTCTTGTTTTTCTCGCTCTCTCTGCTCCTCTCGGAACTCGATTCCTTCCAGTAGTAGTAGTAGGAGGAAGATTTTCGATCTGGGTGTTGGGCTTCTGGCTGCTTCAGTGGTGGCTTCCTCGCCCTTTGACGCCTCCGCCACCAGAATCGAGTACTACGCCACCGTAGCAGAGCCTTCCTGCGAGCTCAATTTCGCCCGTTCGGGTCTTGGTTACTGCGACGTCGCTGTTGGGTTTGGTGAGGAGGCTCCTCTTGGTGAGCTCATCAATGTCAGTATTACAACCACTATATATATATATATATATATATATATATATATATGTATGTATGTATAAGTATTATTGTTATACATATGACAACGTATTTATGCAGTGTGAACGAATTGGAAGTTGGTTTGCATTAGTATGTGAGATTCTTTTTTGTTGTTGCTTGTTTAGGCATTTTAACAAACATGATGGCTTCATTATCCATTCAATTTTTTCATGGTTTTATTAATTTCTTTATATTTATATCTATGTATATGAATAATGTATCACCAAATAGTCAACCTTACTGCCCTTTACTATGTTGTATTGATCCCCATTAACACTGTGTCTGAGGAGGCCCCGGATGACATGGGCCAGGTCCGACTCGCAAAACACAACCTTCAGTCCGAACAGCTGGGTCAGCCCATAGAAAGACACTGCCATATGGGCCGAGCGGGAGTAAGCCCATCAAGGGTGACCAGGGCTTACAGAGGAATAGGCCCAGGTCCAGCAATTAGTAAATATCTTGTAAATATCTTGTAAATATCTTGTAAGTGTCTATAAATAGGAGTTGGAATGAAGAGGAGAGGGATCTTTCCGGGTTGAGGTGTAAGAATTCTAGAGAGAGAAAGAATAGAAGGAGTTTCTTGCATCTTCAATTGGCGCCGTCTGTGGGAAACGCATGAAAGTTTGGTTGATCAATGAGGAGTATCGAATGGATTCAAACCAATTCGGTTGATCGAGACTCGATCTTGCGGATTTGAATCCAGATCTGAGCGATTGTGACCTACTCTGGAGGAATTACGATTCTTGAAGCTTTGGCAGGAGTGACTTCAGATCTACGCAACCACGAGTTGCTCGATTGTGGCAGGATCTGACGGATTTAGAGTTTAGACAATTCAGATCTTGTAAACAGTGAGCATAATTCGGAGAATTAGAAGCCAGATCTAAAAATTCTTACTCACGAAGCTCAGATCTACTCGCGAACTTGAGATTAATGCCTTTACTCCGTTCGGGAATAATGATAGGTGAAAGCTCCAATCCGATGGAGGCTGTCCAGCAAACAAAGCTTGAAGAGTTGATGAACTTGATTGAAGCTCTCAGAAAAGAAAATGCAGAATTGAAAGCTGGACTGCAGCATCGGCAAATACCTGCGGTTTCGCATCCACTTCCGGTCGGAGAAGGAGGTGTTCCATCTAATATCGCGCATCAAGGCGATCAGGACGAGAACAATCAGTCAGCTCACCACCGTGACGAAAGGATGATGGACAATTTGCCGCCAAATGTTCGTCGAGTTGAAGATCACGAAGGATCGACTCACGTTGATCCGCAGCGGGAAAGGTTTGACCGAGAGGAAGTGATGGAGGTTGATCGCCGTCGAGTAGCGTCGCCTTGGCAAAGAGAGTTCATAGAGGAACGGTCGTTCGATCCGTCTTACCGGCCCTCCATGGTTACTGTCACTCATCACGGTTCGGAGGGCAGAACCGTAACTCACAGAGCTACCGCTGGACTCCAGAGAGAGAATGAAGCTCTCCGATCCGCGGCTCGGACGGTGGATTCACCATTCACCGACGAGATCTTGAATGCGCCGCATCCAAGGAAGTTTGCTATGCCAGTCTTTATTCTGTTTGACGGAACGACCGATCCGATCGATCATGTGTATCATATCCAGTTGAAAATGGCCCTGAATACGGAAAACGACTCTTTAATGTGCAAATGTTTCCCTACAAGCCTGGCCGGACCGGCGCTCAGCTGGTTCAAAAACTTGCCTAGGAGCTCCATTGGCAGTTTCAGAGACCTGTGCGATCGGTTCATAAGTCAGTACTATGGGAACAAACGCCCGCCGAAGGACATCTCGAGCCTCTTCACGATGCGGCAGCACAAGGATGAACGTCTCCAGGCCTTTCTTACCAGGTTTAATCTCACTAAGAGTATGGTGATCGAATGCCACCCTTCTACGGCAGTTCAAGCCTTCAAGTTAGCCATGACACGCGGAACTCCCTTTCACACCAGTCTGGTAGTGAACACGCCGGCTACCATGGATGAACTCAATGAGAGAGCCGATGGCTTTGTGCGCCTCGAAGAAGAGGAGGCAGCTAATGCTCGGACAACGTCGCTTGTGTCGACCGAGGAGAAGTCCAAGGCAAAGATCAGGCAGAAGCAGGCTCAGCCACAACGTCAGACCACTTGGAAGGCCGAAAAAAGGTCCAGGGAGGAAGAGTTGATTACTCCGCTGAAGGTCACTCTGGCAAGGCTGTATCAGGAGAACAAGGACAAGTTTCATCCACCACTGCCAATTAGACAACCCCTCGAGCAGAGGGATCAAACTAAACATTGTGCTTTTCATTCTGATTTCGGACATCAGACTAACGAATGCAAGAACTTGAGGAGGCAAGTGGAGATGTTGATAGCTAAAGGGGAGTTCGCGAGTTATGTTCAAGGCTCGGCGATGGAGCAGAATCGACCAGTGGAACAAATAAAAAGGAGTTATAAACAAAGCTCCCACAATTCGCAACCAGTTCGTATAATCAATGTTATCCATGGTCGACCCGAGCCTAGTGAAGAGTCAGATGAGCTGCTACGGGTGCGCCTGCGGCAGGCGCAGATGAAGAAAAGGGTCGGCAATGTGTCCACTCTACACCAGCAGAGCCCGTCAATGCAGATAAAGTTCGACTGGACAGACCTGCAGCGTGTTCAACTGCCTCATGACGACCCGTTGGTAGTCAGTTTGACAGTGGCGGATTGCTTGGTGCGCAGAGTTCTGATCGATCCTGGGAGCAGTGCGAATGTTATGCCGAGGGACACATTTGACAGGCTCGACATTAAACCAGAGAGGCTCAAGCCCACCGGAAATCCCTTATTAGGGTTCGATGGGAAGAGGGTGGAACCCGTCGGGATGGTGGAAGTAGAAGTTCAAGCTGCAGAACGAGCTCTTATGGAAACTTTTGTGGTTGTGGAAATTCACCCCTCGTATAATCTCCTGATGGGAAGAGGATGGATTCACAGAGTCCGGGGTGTACCCTCAACTCTGCATCAGGTCATGAGGTGCCTCGGGCCCGATGGGGATAGAGTAATAGACATTCGGGGGGATCAGGTCGCAGCCAAAGAGTGTTATTCCGTCACACTAAAGCATGCTGGGAAAGGAAAGGCGCCCGTCCGTTCGACAAGCCCCAGATAGCAATTACAGAAACCTCCGCCCGAACAGAATAGGGTGGAGGAGTCAGTCGACTTGACCGAGGAGCCCCTTCTGGATGTGCAGATCGATCAGTCCAGGCCAGAACGAACTGCCAGAGTAGGTATAAGACTGACCAGAGAAGAGCGGCAAGAGCTAGTGGATTTTTTGTCCCACAATGTCGACGTATTCGCATGGAGTCACCTAGACATGCCTGGAATTAGTCCTTCCGTATCCTGTCATTCCCTGAATGTAAATCCCAGTTTCAAACCAGTGAAACAGAAGCAGCGAAGATTTGCTCCAGAACGTAATCAGATCATAGCGGAAGAAGTCGATAGGCTGCTTGATGCGGGATTTATCAGAGAGGTGCACTACCCTGAGTGGTTGTCCAACGTCGTTGTAGTGCAGAAGAAAAATGGGAAATGGCGAGTATGCATTGATTTCACCAATTTGAACAAAGCCTGCCCGAAGGACAGCTTCCCGCTGCCTAAGATTGATCAAATGGTGGATGCCACCACTGGGTATGAGCGTTTGACCTTTCTGGACGCATATTCAGGTTATAATCAGATTCCTATGGACCCCGCAGATGAAGAAAAAAGTTCTTTTGTCACCGAGCGAGGTACATACTGCTACAAAGTTATGCCTTTCGGGCTAAAGAATGCGGGAGCAACTTATCAACGACTTGTTAGCAAAGTTTTTAAGAATCAAATGGGTAAGATTGTCGAAGCCTATATTGATGATATGGTGGTAAAGAGTAGGAAAAAGGATGATCATCTGAAGCATCTGCAAGATGTATTCGATGTACTAAGGCGATATGGAATGAGGCTCAATCCGACCAAGTGCTCGTTCGGTGTGAGTTCCGGGCAGTTTCTGGGACACGTGGTCAACCGCAGGGGCATCGAAGTTAGCCCCGCTCAAGCAGAGGCTTTGATTAAGAATGCCGAGCCAAAGACGATCAGAGAGGTGCAAGCCCTAACAGGACGAATAGCTGCGTTAAGTCGATTTGTTTCAAAGTTGTCAGACCACTGCAAACCATTCTTTGACACGATTCGAAGCCATGGAAGGCAGGTCTGGGGGGATGAGCAACGACAGGCATTGACTCATTTAAAGCAATATATGCAGAATCCTCCAGTCCTGTCAGCCCCAGAACCGGAAGAAAAGTTATTTCTATATCTTAGAGTATCTGGTGTCGCGACGAGTGCCGTTCTGATTCGTTGCAAGGAAGGGGTGCAATACCCGGTATTTTATGTAAGCAAAACACTGATGGAGGCAGAAAAAAGATACTCAAAGGCCGAACGGGTGGTACTTGCACTTGTACATGCAAAAAGAAAGTTAAGGCATTATTTTGAATCCCACCCCATAGCTGTTCTAACAACTTTCCCAATCAGAACGCTCATGCACAAGCCAGAGCTCTCGGGCAGAATGACAAAGTGGGCCATAGAGTTGAGTTCATTTGACATAACGTACGAGCCGAGAACAGCTATTAAAGGGCAAGCGGTGGCCGATTTCCTACTAGAATGTGATGCCGAAGATACGGAAGAGGACCTTAGAAGCGGCTCTTGGAAACTTTTTGTGGATGGCTCCTCTAACCAGATGGGGGCTGGGATTGGGATCAAACTGCAAACCCCAGAGGGTACTTCCTTGAGCCAAGCACTCAGACTTGAGTTCCGAGCCACCAATAATGAAGCGGAATACGAGGCGTTGCTAAATGGATTAAAGTTGGCCAGAGAGCTACAGATCAAAAGTTTGACAGTGTATAGTGACTCGCAGCTGATTATTCGGCAGGTAAATGGTGAGTACGCAGCCAAGGATGACATGATGGGGGCATATCGTTCTACCGTTCTGCGTAGAG